CCAAAATATGACAAATGAAATGTTCCTACAACATCCATCTTTTGCGTGGGGATGCTCGTTGCTGTTAGAATCTGCCTCCCCGGATCCCAGGTCTCAAAGCAATTTATTAAGCATACTATTAACTCCACTTTACAGAATTTAAAGAAAACATTCTCCAAAAGAAAACGAGTTAAAGCCAAGATCCATGATCTCTGTATTCTGATGCTCTCACACACATGAGCTCTACATCTCCAGGGAACTGCCCTCCAGCACCTTTCCAAATGACAAGGCTACAGAATGCTGCTCTCCTGGCCTCGGCCCACAGGAACCCTCCAAGTGGAATGGTATTTTCTACCCTGGCCTGGAGTAAAAGTACAATCCATTTTATGCTAGGATACTTCAGGTAACTCCCCTCCTATTGCCATAAATATACTTTGGAACTAATGTCATTACTGATGATATTAGGGGCTACGGATGAGAGAAAGCCTTTCAAGTTTCATGTCCATATGTTACATACACATAGAATGTTTTTGGAAGGACACACAAAAAGCTGATGACCATGGGTGGGTGAATGGGGATACAGGAGGGAAGCAACTCTACTTCTCACTATATACCCTTCTGAACAAATGCTGTTTTACAAACACGCGTTACCTACTGAAGGCTAAATAAACAGACTGGATGGCTTGTCATTTCACCCCTTTCATTCTCCATCTCCTCGCTCCTCTTCCCTGTCCCTTTTCCTCCCATTCATTCCACCTCTCCAAGCCTCCATCGAAGCTTGCCCCAAGAGCCGCAAACTGTTAAAACAGTGGCCAGAGACTGAGCCAAGAGCTGTGCCCAAGATAAGACACCAAGCAAGACCAGGAAGTCTTTCAAGGTCACACCATTTATCAAGCCAACCCAACACGCTAAGAAACTCTTCAGCTATGTAGAAAAGGCCAACCTGACACCACAAAGGCTTTGCCTTCTCATCTTTTGGAATCATACAGGTCAAATGTCCTAACTTCAGAATCAACCAACCAATTCTTTCCCAAGCAAGTGTATCATACAAGAATCTACCCCCAAAGAGATCCAAAGCTACATAGTCTTCCATCCCCCAAAGGAGGCTCTTTGTCTCAGGTCCTTGTACTGTAACAGACACTTTATTTTCAGTCTCAAATCAGGACACTGAATACTCCCTGGCCTCTAAAAAGCAGGAATTATGAAGAGAGAGCTCATTGGGAGGAAAATAAACCTGTAAATCCTGTTAGGCTTTGCGCTTCATTCCAAAGGCTTTTTCCCCAAAACAATACCATTAGCATTACCATGATAGCCCTAAAAGGGAGCATTCTGCACAACAGAATTGCAGCTCGTCGTTCAAAATAAACCCCCAGAAAAGCACAGGAAAATCAGGGCTCCCTAACCCACATTCTGAGCCAACTCATTTCCACTCGCCATTTGTGGGCTCACCACAGTCCTCCTTATAAATACCTTTTCTGTAACTTGGATGTGCTTCCCACCCTCCAGGCCTTTCACCTTCCAGGTGGGCAGCTGGTCCACAAGTATTCATTACGGGCCTCCCAAGTGCCAGGGACACAAAGCAGAGGCTGGATCCATACCCTCAAGGAGCAAACTGGGAGATGAAACAGTCACACAAGCAATGAGAACACAAGACAGTCAGTGCTGTAACCAAGCTCCAAAGAACTCTTCCCACCAGAGCCTGGGAAAACTAAGAGACATTCCTTGGATGATGAAAAATGGAATAGGGCTTTGCAGGCAAACAGAGAAACGGGAAGAATATTGGAGGCAGAGGAAAAAGCAGGTGGCATGCTGACATGCAGCTGACATGAAATCAGGAGGAAATCCAGTGTGGCAAGAATGTTGGAATCCCCCTTCTTCGATCTGGCCTGTTTTAGAAGAGGGACAACAACTAAATCTAGTTTACTCTGAAGGTTAGCAGCGCCAAAGGAAAAGAACGACAGGGACTCCAACACAGGGCTCTTTCTCAGATGCAAAAGCCCTCTGGCTCCCCTCCCTGAAGCTGGCAGCCTGAACATCACCCGGGGGGTCTTTTTCCATCAGGCAGCTTCTGCTTCCAGTGCTGATCTGTGGGGCCCAGCATCCCCTCAAACACACTCAAAGGTCAGAGGGCGAGAAGCTGCAGAGTGTCTGAGCCCACTGACCCTTTATCACTTCATCTCCCACGCCTTCCATGTCGAACAACCCACTCACACCCCACTGGAGAGCTGCGGCCCGGTTTATCATGTCCCTGCTTCCTTGTCCCTGTCTGGTACATTTCCATGCCTGTACATTTATTTACAACTTCTTTATCTGCTCCTTAGACTCTAAATTTTCTGAAAGCAGTGATGAAAACTTCCCCTGCCCCTTCATTTGCACTCCATCCCTACATAGAATAATACTGAATTCGACTGACACTACAGAAAAACTTTAAGTGTGGGGGTTGGGGGGAGTATTTATACTCTCATTTTAGGGAGAACTGGCTTAAGGCTAGAAGCAGAATGTATTAGTTGCTCAGTCGTGTCCGACTCTTTGTGACCCCATGGACTGTAGCCGGCCAGGCTCCTCTGTCCATGGAATTCTCCGGGCACTACTACTGGAGTGGTAGGTAGCCATTTCCCTCTCCAGGGGATCTTTCCAACCCGGGGATCGAACCCATGTCTCCCGCATTGCAGGCAGATTCTTTACCATCTGAGCCATGGGAGATCTGATTTACAGTCTGCATCCTGACCCTTTAGAGAGTGAACACAGCACTTTTCATATCCAGCAGGGACAACGTCTAAACCAGGTATGTCCCAGGGGAAAAAAAAGAGGCACGTGGTCATCTTTACTAGAATGATGGAAAAAAAGAGGCAAATAGTCATCTTTACTAGAAAGATCCTTCCAAAGAGTCCCGAGGCCCTTCAGAGCTCCAAGACGGACAGGCAAAACCCCTTCAGCCCGATTCCTATGCGTGGGGTCTGAAGGGTCTGCACTAGACAGTGCTTGTAGCAGAAAGCCCAGGAAGTCCTTCCTTCACTCTAACTCAGACCCTTACAGATTCAAGTTAATCCCACTTTTATTAACCTCAGGGCAACCAAGAACAAATGCACAAAGGAGGCAGCCTCGGAGAAGACGAAACACTGCTCTGAGTCCTCACCCTTGATAGGAATTCCTCATTAAGAGTTCCACAGCTACTTCTCCATCCTTCCACGGAAACAAATTCAATCTGGCTGACTCAGAAATATGAAAGCCAAAGGTTTTTTAGTCACTCCTAAGGAGAACACAGTTTAACTTGTCCCACATCCCCAGGAGCTTTTACAAACAGCACCTGCGCACATATTTTTGCGACCACAAAGTTCTTCCAGCAGCCCAATCTATAGTTGTAGGGGACCTGAGATCCAGAAGGGATCGTCTTCCGTTGCTCCCCATTCCCAACCCCCAGAAAGCTGACTCAAGTCCACAGGAGAGCTGAGCTGATGGGAAGCCTCAGTGAACAAGGGAGCCTCTCTCTCGCCTTCCCACATCGTTCATCAGGATGCTGGTGTCCCTGTGGAGAGCAAGGACCCTGCTGACTTCTTTCAGTAATACAAAAAAGAAGTTTCAGGAGAGAGTGGAGAGGGCAACAAGGATCTGGACCCTCGGGGGAGCCACACAGGCAAGTTCCAGCAGCCCATGCCAACCAGCCATTCTATGCCCACTGGCACATGCTCTTGCCTTGGGGCTGGTGGTGCATGGAAGTCAAATGCTCCCATCCTCGAACCTCCATCCCAAGCCCCTTTCTTACCAATACATTTTTCTTTAGAAAGAAGTTATTGAAGAAGCACTGTATAAAGAGTGGGCGACTATTTGATCTCTCAAAGATCACTAGACAATGCAGACAAAAACTAAAGAGCCAGCAACCCTGTCCCACATGACCTTGGGCTAGTCACTTCACCTTTCCCGGCTCTGGTGGCTTCATCATCAAAACGACACACAGGGAGAGATGCTTTATAATGTTCTTCCGGCTCCAAAGGTTGAACATTAAGCTCTGTATATTTCCTGGAGAAATGGCTAAAGGAAAATCAGCAAAGAGATGCAGAATTCAGACCAATCTTTTAATTTCCACTTTGAAGGGAACATTTTGACTCTAGAAATCACGTAATTGACCACCTCCACCATTTCCACTTCTTTTCCCCCACCGACCTGCCAGCTTTGTTAATGTCAATCTCAACCACAGGACTGTGAGTCTCATGAGGCAATAACACGGACAAATTAATTTTGCCAACGCTGATTCTAGCCCACAAACTCGGTTTGCAATTGCCAGCAGTAAGTCCGGCCATAAAAGTGAAATTCATGTTCCTCGTGATCTAATAAGCCCATTGCCTGGATAGAAATAAATCATCTGCTGAATAATAATACCCATCAAACTCCTGCAGTTTTTCAAATCCCCAAGTGTCATGAGAGATATTCCTGTCCAACATAAAATCAGTATTTTGAAAAGTGGAGGATGGATAGAACCTCACCCACCCCCCATCACCACCAAAAAAAGAATTCAGCCCTTACACACACACACCTCTTGTTTGACTATATGCCCAGAGTCAGGATTTCAGGTTTGCCCACCTTAATTGTGGTTTAAAACGGTAAGTGCGGAAACCCCCTCCTCTGACTGTTCTGGGTAAACGTTCAGCAACTGCAGGGCGCTCGCCTCCGCTGCTAACTGATGATACAAGAAAGCAAGCCCGTTTTCTATCTACACGTAAAATGAAGCTGCACCCCTCCGATACCTGCCAGAAACTCCACCGGAGAGCACACAGCCAGGGGAAACAGTGCACCCCGCGAGTGCCCTGGAATCCGTTTACTAAAATAGGCAGGAAGAAGGAAAGATCAAGGCGATTCAAGTGCTGACGGTTGTACTCCTGTGTGCGGAGGGGAGAAAACAAACGCCAGCCGGGAAGTCCCCAGCGGTGCCTGCACCTGGGAGGCGACAGCTAAGGATGCATGCGGGGGTGCGGCGGCGCAGGGAGTAGAGAGAGCCGGAGGGAAGGCGGGGGCCGACCGCTCACCTGTCCGTACACCTGGATGGGCTCCTGCTGCAGAGCAGCACTCCGTCTCCTCCGGAGCGGCTTCTCGTCCGCCCCCCGGGGCGCCCCGCGCGCCCCCAGCCGCAGCTCGAGCGGGTCGCCCCGCACCACGAGGAAGCCCCGGTCCTGGGGCCCAGGCGCGCGGCCGCCGGTCAGCGTCTGCGGCCAGATCTGGCCGACAGCCCCGGGGGGCAGCAGCGCGATCAGGACGAAGAGGAAGGGGAGTCGCGACTCCCTCCTGCTGCTCCGTGTCGCCATGTTCGGGCGAACGCGACCGCAGGTGGCGCCGCCGCCAGGAGAGAATGTGCAGCGCGAGGCCGGGACGCCGGCCGGGCCGGGGCCACCCCTTCGCGCACTTTCTCCGCCGCGGCCCCTCCCCCGCGCGGCGATGGGGAAGTCAAGGCAGCGGGCGCGCGGCCCGGGCCCCGGGCGGGCGCTCCTTGTCGACCGTGCGCCCTGCGGCAACTGGGAGTCGCGTGGGGCTCGCCGGTCCTCCCTGGAGTTCTCGCCTGCTCTGCCGGGTCGTGTCGAGGTCGCCCTCAACCTCGGCCAGTCTCCTTTCCCGACTGCACAGCCCCGGGTCCCGCCACACGACCACCTCGCCCGCCCCCTGTCGCGCCCCCACCTCCGAGGGAGCGTGGGGAGTCCGAGGAAATTAGCGCGGAGAACGCGGCGGGCACGTTCGAGTCCAGATGAGCCCGCCCCCACGGTGCAACTCACACAGTTTCAATTACTCTGGGCACCGAACTGCCGTTGCTCGAACTAAACTGCCCCTGCCCTGAACACGGTAAATATACTCCTGGCACAGAGGCCTTAAAAACAAGGAGAGTCAGACAGGAGACTCGCCACACCTGAACCCGCTTAGTTACACAGTGTTCCTTGCACCCAGAGGACCTGCGCGGGACACGCGGCCCCAGCACAGTGGCTTCCTTGTGACCCCCGCCTGTGTGACCGGGCACCGATCCATCCTACCTAAGCCCCCAAACCTGTGCACACACCCCAGCCCCTTCAGCCCACAGCCAACGCTGTTCCAAGTCCTCTTCCCAGGGTGGGTAAAGCCTTGCCACTGGGGGCAGAAGGGGCAGACACCGCAGAGTGGGGAGGACGCGTTTTAAATTAACCCTACATGCAGCTGGAGGATCCAAGACCTTGTTCAAAGCACAAGGAGATAAAAGGTACTGCGGAGACAAACCCAAGGTCAATATTTGTCTGCAGGTTTGTGGGAGCCGCCAAGGCCTATCATCTGTTTCATTTTATGTTTCGCTGTGCTCTGAACTCAAGACCCTGGTTCTTGATAAGACAGAGGAAGCAAGGTTGAATTATAGTTTCATGCAAGCCCTTGAGAAGCTGAGAGGAAGGAGGGATGGTCATTTCAGTGCCTGCAAAATGCTCCTCCTGGTCCTACCCCTGCCCTCTGGGACTCTCCAGTTAGCTTAGCTCACCCTCTTCCCCTACCTAGCGTCATCCCTGGAAACAACCCACCCAAAGAGGGACAGCCTTTCCTTGCCTCCCTAAATCCAGTCTTCTACCCGCCTCTCATACCCTATGCCAGACTCTCTGGGGACCTGGGTCTGATTCTTTAGTCCCCAGCTTCCTCTCACCCCTTCATTCTCCCCCAGTCTTTCTATCCATCTCACCATAATCATAGAACCACCTAGTTCTCCCCCATCCTCTGGCAAAGTCACGGATCCACTGCCAGCTCCAACTCCCCATCTAGACCAGCGCTGTCTGGTCAGTATGACCTGACCAGGCATGGACCACCCTGTGGCCTCCCCAGGCCAGAAGCAAAGACACATCAACACCTATTTAACCCCCAAGTGAAAATGAGAGGAACAGGGCTAGAGTCGGTCTACTCTGCAAGAGTTTCAATTGTTTATTTCAACATATATTTCATGAGAACCCCTATAAGAGCAAGTGTCAGAGTCCCCGCAGGAAACACATGTCCCTTAAGTGTGGACTTGAAGATGGAAAGTTGCTTTTCCCACGAAAAGCAAATGGTGCAAATGGCAATTTGCAGGGAAGGGTTGGTAGGGCAGGGCCAGCTGCTTGCTGATTTTGATTTTGATTTGCAGCGTGGATGCTGAAGAACTTGCAGGAATGATCAAACATGGGTAATTTGCTCCTTGAAAGCCCTCCTCTGTAATCATTATGTACCTTCCACACTGTTCTAAGGTGGATAATCAGCAAACCCTGAGACTGTATGAGCCTTATAACCACACTACCTCTCCAACCAAACGTCAGTTTCCTCATCTACAAAATAAGGATCTTAATTCCTGCCTATCCACACAGATATGCTGATAGCATCAGAGGAGATAATGTAAGTGAAATAACATTGCCATGCAAATTGTGAAGACCCCAGATAGAAGTACTGTACACAGATGACATTAGAGACATGCATTCTAGTCCTGCTTTGCAAGGAAGTTACTGTGTGATTTTTGTTCTTGATCATCTGGTCTCTCTGGGCATTGGTGTCTTCGTATGTGAAATGTAAAGAGACCTTGCAGCCCTGACCATTCCCCACCCCTTCAGGACCTCCACCTGGGCACAAGATGGGTGCAGCCACAGGCCACGGCTGACTTTTGCAATTGAGCAGGATGTTCCTCCTAGCTTTAAAACCGGATCTCAGTTGTAAACAAGCCTCCACTTCCTCCATGCCTCCAAAACAATATCAGCATTGGGGTGGGAAGATAGGTGGCGAGAAGGGAGGATCCTCATCCCCCTCCACCCCAACTTGCATGACCTTTGTTTTGATGCTGCCACACATCAGGAGGAAAACCAAGATGCGTGGGAATTTTATACTAGACTGGGGTCAGACTTTATTGTTTATTATTTATTTACTTTGGGCTATGCTGGGTCTTTATTGGGCTTCCCTGATAGCTCAATTGGTAAAGAATCTGTCTGCAATGAGGGAGACCTGGGTTTGATCCCTGAGCTGGGAAGATCCCCTGGAGGAGGGAAAGGCTACCGAGAAATCTTCTGGCCTGGAGAATTCCATGGACTATGTTCCATGGGTCTTTGTTGCTACTCATGGTCTTTCTCTATTTGTGGCAAATGGAGGCCACCCTTTATTTGCAGTGCACGGGCTTCTCGTTGCAGTGGCTTCTCTTGTTGCAGATCATCGGTGCTAGACACTCAGGCTTAATTGTTGTAGTGCTCAGGCTTAGTTGCCCCACAGCATGTGGGATCGTCCCCTTCCCAGACCAGGGATCGAACCTGTGTCCCCTGTATTGGCAGGTGGATTCTTTACCACTGGATCACCAGGGAAGCTCCAGGGTCTGCCTTTAAACTGCACTCCTCTGTCCTTCTGCCCCACCCAGGCCATCCTAAAATAGAGCTGAAGATGGAGCTAAGGAAAGATCACCCAGCGGTCACCAGAGTCCCACGTCTTTACCCAAATGGAGTCTCTGTTAATATAGCAACAAGGACAGCCACAAAGAAGGAAGAAAAACTCCCAAAGCCTAACTGGACTTTTGTCTGTTCTCTCTCCCCTCCTGGCCTTCCCTAATGCTGGCATCTGGCATCTCACCCTCCCTCCATGCCCAGCCCCTGGCCTAGCCAACTTCTGTGCATCCTTCAGTTTCCAAGAGGCCTCTGGACTAGCCTAGGTTACGCCACATTGCTTAGATAGAGGCCCTAAGTCTCGTGCAATCTTTGGTACTTTCTCTCTGGTCACATTACTTATTTAACCTCATTTTCCTCTCAAACTGTTACTAAGTCCACTGAAAAGATGGCAGACTAGTGTCTCAAAATAACTATCTTAGCTATTAGGGTCTGGATACCAGTTATCTTTTACAGAACACAGAGATGGGAGAGGTGAGGATATATAAAAAAGCCATTAATCTTACAAACATCTCCTGAAATGGCCAGCCTCAAGGCGAGGATATGTACATTTCTTTTTTCTTGTAGCCATTCACTGGTGGACAGGATCAGGATGACTCCCTGAACAAAGGCACTTTGGTTTAACCTTCAAGAAGAGGGGCTGGGTTCCCTATAGCAGGCCGTTATATACAGACAGTATCCTTTCAGTGAACAAAAGCAACAGGGAGCAAAGTTTAAAGTAAAAGGAACAGATCCAACTTGTAGTCACATTTTCCTCTAGGTGGCTAGGTGGTAAAGAATCTGCCTGCCCACTGTTTATAATAGCTAGAAAACGGAAGCATCCTAGATGTCCATCAACAGACAACTGGATAAGGAAGTTATGGTACATATACACAATGGAATATTAGTTAGCTATAAGAAAGGACACATTTGAGTCAGTTCTAATGAGGTGGATGAAACTGGAGCCTATTATGCAGAGTGAAGTAAGTCAGAAAGAGAGACACCAATACAATATATTCACGCATATATATGGAATTTAGGAAGACGGTAACAATGATTGTATACGCAAGGCAGCAAAAGAGACACAGATGTAAAGAACAGACTTTTAGACTCTGTGAGAGATGGTGAGGGTGGGATGATTTGAGAGAATAGCACTGAAACATGTATATTACCATATGTAAAATAGAGGACCCGTGCTAGTTGGATGCATGAAGCAGGGCACTCAAAGCCGGTGCTCTGGGACAACCAGAAGGATGGGGTGGGGAAGGAGGTGGAAGGGGGTTCAGGATGGGGGGCCACATATACACCCATGGCTGATTCATGTTGATGTATGGCAAAAACCATCACAATATTGTAAAGTAACTATCCTCAAATTAAAATAATTAAATAAAAAAAAAAAAAAAAAAGAATCTGCCTGCCAATGTAGGGGACACAGGAGATGTGAGTTTGATCCCTGGGTCGAGAAGATCCCCTGCAGTAGGAAATGACAACCCACTCCAGTATTCTTGCCTGGGAAATCCCATGAACACACGGACAAAGGAGCCTGGCAGGCTACAGTCTGTGGGGGTTACATGACCTAGCAACTAAACTACAATATAACATAGCAAAACCATAAGCAGTAAGAAGGCAAAACCAGGCTCATCTTACCCTATGTCTATGCTTCCAGTGCTTGTATGATTCTTGCATATAGTGGGTACCGGTGACATTTATAGAATGTCTGTATGAATGAAAAGAGTTCGAGAAGACACCCTATGCCTTGTGGTGAGAGTTTGGGAGTGGTAAGGACCAGACGTGATTGTGAAGGAGGAAACAGACAGAACAGGCTCCATCTTGACAGCAGGACTCTATCTTGGGCCAGACTGTGGACTTGGAGCTATATGCCCAGTATCTATGGAAATGACATACCAGCTGGAAAACCAGGCCCCCAGAAGGAAGAGCCCCAGGGCTCGTGTACCTAGACTCTCCGTTACTGAAAAGAATACTCTAATTATTTGTGTAACCAAATAGAATCATA